AGAAAGTTAAGCTGCGCACTTATCAGTTTGAATTTTTTTCTGGGAAGACGAAGATGGGAAGTATGGGAATAACTGTTATTTCGTTGTGAATATACAGGAAAGTTGTAAACGTTCGAATATTATATTTTAATTATTAAAATATGATAACTATTAATCTTAATTAATGATTGATTAATTAAAGAGCTCAATTTAGTCTAAAAATGATTTTGCCATCGATCTCAAATTTATCGAGCATTGTCTATAAAACGTTTGAGTTTTTTTTTTAAAATTATCAGTTTTTTCTGTATCCAATACATGCATATACATATAAATATACATCTGCAGTACAAAATAAACTAAAATTTATTGTTTCTTATTACTTCATTGAAATCTTTCTACTTTTTGGTAAAATAGCTAAATTATTTGATTAATTCTATGTTGTAATAGTTATGACCCACCCTGTATAATAATATCCGGAAAAACATACATACCACATTTAGAGAGGTTGAACTTAATTCTCGTAGTCCCGCTTCTTAGTTCCTATACTAAAGGGTTGCTAGCAGTCAAGAAATTGCACAGTTATTGTGTGTGTAAATTGTTTATTTAGTTGCCCAGTTAATTACAAAGGATGCGATTGTTGATGCGAAAAATCTGCCAGTAAACTATAAAATGGTTGGTTTACGTGAGAACGATTTTTTACACAATTAGTGCTCTATTTTATTGCATCATTATCCTATTGCAGTGCTTTTAATAACAATAATAATAATAATCATCATCATCATCGCCGTGGAAAATATCGAAGAGAAGCTTTACGCCTATTGTTTTGTAACACACATACATCACCTTTCCTGTAAATAAACTAGAGTTATTTCGAAAACAGTTGTTCCCACTGGAAAACTAATGTATAAATGAACCCATGTATAGCTACTCTTTCACAAATCTGTGACATAACAGTAGGTAACTAATGCGTATAATAATCTCCTCTTTATTGTTTTTTCTTTCTTTAGATTCTTTTAATTCTTCTTGTTGCGCTTGAGTAAACTATTGACCAATATAAGACCTGAGTTGTAGACATAAATGCTGTAATGGTGTTTTAGAATGTGGATTGTTGAGTGAATTAAGCTGACGAA